TGTTTCAGTTTATGTCGGAGCTGAGCAGCAGTTATCCACTCCCCTCTCACTGCATCCCAGAGGTCACCTATTTTGAAAACACCTTTTTCTGCCCATGTCAGCCACGGAATTTGTCATCAATTAGAAGGGGCTGCCTGTTGCATCCAACATAAGCAGGTTGCAAAAAAAAGAGGGGCTGTCGCCAAATGTCTTGCCACCTGTTTGGTGGTTGCCTCTGATTCAGCCCACGACTTCCCCAGAGTTATGTCCAAGCATCTTTGGCCAGAGCGGGTCCCAAGATATGTCCAGTTCAGTTTCTTGTGCCGGTTTATCCGCCTGTCTATGCTGAGCTGAGGAGGGTATGGACCAGTGGGCGTTGGTAAGCCATTGAAAGGGGTGCACCCTACTTGGGTCTGCTGATTCTGCAGATGCTGGGGCCAGATTACTGATTTGCAAACAGGCCAATGGATACCCAGGGCCTATCGCTACCGATCAGGAGTCTGCCCAACACTTTAAATATCAGGGCCTCACCCTCCCTGTGTGGGTCGAGTATCCCTAGACCCCCTTTGGCCATCGGGTGTGTAAGAATGTCCTATTTGACCCGATTTAAACTGCCTTGGTCCATTGTGCCAGTGTTCCACAGGTTGGATGTTAGGGCACATCTAAGCCTACCCAGCTGCTTTTGGTTTTATGGCCACACTGCCAGTTTATACCAAATTACTGCCATGACAGCATTATTAATCGCCAGCGCCCTGCCTACCGAGAATGTGTGCAGGCCCTCCCATCGACCCAACCGGCTCCATCACCAGGTGAACTAGCAAGTAGTCGTGGTCCAGCGCAGGGCCAAGCGCTGTGAGTTTCACCCCCAGGATTCTGATGACCGTTTCTTTTGCTGGGCCCGAGATCGTGTGGATGTAGCCACCAGCCTTTTATCTTAGCACCCCAATTCACTTTCATATCTGCCACTAACCAAAATGAGTGTATAACTTCTATGAGCACGCGCGTTCGTCAGCAGTAATTAGTATTGTGAGGTCGTCTGCGAACAACGATGTCAGATCTAATTAGTATTGCGAGGTCGTCTGCAAACAACGATGTCATCAGGATGAGAGGTGGTCTGGCAAGTAAGGGATGGGGACCTCGTGGATCAGTGGGTGGACCCTAATGAGTGATGCAAGAGCCTCCACGACAATGACAAATAACAACAGCGCTATGGGGTCCCCATGACGCACCGACCGCTAAAAAAGGACCATCGGGGCTGACAGGTGGTCATTAAGCATGATGTTAGTTGTTGCTGATCTGTGAAGGAGTTGCACCCAGCAGACAAATATTGGCCCAAAATTCATTTTCCTGATACACATATCCAAGAAATCCCAGCCCACATTGTCATAGTTTTTTTCAGAATCTATGAACAGGACTGCAGCCTGGACATTCTGTTGGCGTGCGTATTTAATGGTCTCGTTGACCAACAGAATGTTGTCTTGGATACTACAATTAGGCATGAATCCTGTCCGGTCCGAATGGATTAGGGTATTCATGAGGGGCAGCAACCTACGGTTTAGTGCCTTTGCGACCAGGTTGTAGGGGACTGGGAGGAGTGTGCGATACTAAAAGTGCATACAAATGAGCATCATTAAGAGAACAGACAAAATATAAGCAGCAGGTCTGCCGAAAAATGAACAGAGTATACCTACTGCTTTACTCTGCCTCTTTTCAAAACCGTTATGGCACAAAGGGTGCGCGGGGAGCTTGCTTTGGAACCACAATCGACGTGGCAAGCCTTGTGTGTTAGAGGCACAGTAAAAAAGGGAGCCCCAAGAAGAAATAACAAAGCATTACCCCAAAGAACGCCGAAGTCAAGATAGCAAAGAAAGGACTGTACAAGGAAAAGTCAATATAACTTATATATAACTTGTATGACAGATTTATTGATACCCCAAACAAAATAAGGGTCAAGATAGCGAAGAAAGGACTGTACAAGGAAAAGTCAATATAAGTCGTATGACATATTATTGTGCTTCATATTGTTTGCTATAGAGGTGAAATTGTTTCAGTGTTGGATTTGCTCGTCTTAGTGTGCTTCACTGTCTACTATAGACGTGATGCTGCGTCAATTTTGGATGTAGTCACCTGTGGAAAAGGGGCTACTCATCTCTGTGGAAAGAGGCTACAGTCAGACAACACACAAAAGAGCACACAAGTGCCATCCCCTAACCCGAACCCAATTTAAACAAACCCACACACACACACACACTGCACAGCATGTGCACAAAAAAACAGATATTTTGTTCAAGTGTGAATGCTGTGAAGTCATCGTTATGCGCACCTGGTCAGCTGTTGTTGCACTGACGTTATACAACATGAAAGCATCCAAAATGTGTATAGAAGCGGCAAAAAGGACATCAAGTCAAAAGGAATTTAAAGGATAAAGATAGCACAGCATGCTGTGAAAGTTTCACTCTATTCTTTATTGTGGTTTATGACCGTTTATCTTCATATTTTTCGTGGTCTTTATTATGGGAGTTGTGCCAGTCCACGAGAATTAGTGTGGTGTCTTGGAGTGGTA